AGCAAAGTCAATGAGAGAAACAGGGTTCCAAGTACCATATCCATAGCAAACAAAACACTGAAGCAGGCAATTTCCTCAAAGAATAAGTTTATTAGCTAGAGCATACTGGCACAAGCTGATGTAAAATGACTCTGATTATTCCCAGAGTTTTCAGCTAATTAAAAGTAAAAGTCTGTCACTTTCTCAAAACAAGCAGTCACATGGAGCACCTTCAGGAATGCCCTTGGTTCCCAAGAGAAAGTATTTTGTTTTGACAACACCCCAACTATCTCTATTCTCCTCTACCAGATTTTTTTCTACAGTTGTCAGCACTGAAGTCTCAAAATGGCCTCAGTCACACCAGCTTCAGGATTGACAACTAGTTTTGCACAACAATCTCATAGTTCACTTAACATCTGCAGGCATCTACTTAACAACCATGGCAAAAAATGGTCTCAAAATCAGGTGAGACTGTCTTAACAACTACCTTGCTTAGCAAGAAAAAAATCTGGTCCTAATTGTCATCATAAGTCAAGGACTATCTGTACTATAATTAATAGTTATACAAGCATCTGTGATTATACTGTATATGGATTTTCTGATTTACAGGAGCCTTGTTAAGTTTTCAGAAGAGACTTGCAAGATGCTGGTTAGACAATTGTTCCTTATATATTTACTGCCTCCTTCCTAAAACTGGTGTAGCAGTTACAGTATCCTGGGTGCTGGCCTAGGAGTTTTATTTAAGCAATGCCAGAATGGTTGGGCAGATGATCACTTGCCCAAAGTTTTCCTAAATATGTCCAGATACGCTGGCCAAAATGATTGGGCTTTGGACTAACAATTTTAATGCATGCTGTAGTATTCTCCAGGCTGCACAAAAAGCTTTTACTTTCTGGAATTTTGCTTAGTGTTACTGGTGGAGGGGGGGACCTTTTGCTTTACTTCATCCCAAAGCACTCAATGAAGAATACCTCTCTTCTTTTTTTCAGCTTTCCTTTGAAGTACTAGCTCTATAGCACAAGGCGTAGGAGGATTATAATGCAACCATGTTTTGCTTTCCTCTTAGAAGTGGGTGCTATTGCTCAAAAAAATGGGCAGTGTGGAGGGTTGTTTCATTCAAAGCTTAAGCAAAACAAAGCATTCATTCAAAGCTTCCCACAGCCTTATTGTTCAAAATGTATGTGTGCTTGAGAGAAAAGAGAAAAGAATTAAGCTGGTCTGACTAACCGGAATTAAAGAATGATATATTTTATGGGGGAGGGGGAAGAACAGTAATTTGTTATATTTCTGCCTCAGTTTCTGAGAATCAATTTCAGTGTGCTCAAAAAACGGCACCATTATTCTTTGCAGCCACTCTTGCTCTTTGTTAATGATACTTTTCAAACCATTTTTCAGAAATTTGGTGTGGATTTCCTCCTTATTTTAGAGGCCATGAACACTGCTAATTTCATTCTGTACTGTCCCCAGACTGTAAAATTGAAGACATTTTTAAAGAAGATCAGGTTTAACTTCTAAAACCTGTGTACCATATAGCATCTCTCAGACCATAGTAATCTTTTCGGTAAATTTAATCTAATTCTACAGAAAAAATGAACAAACAACTCTCAGCAGTTCATGTTTCCCTGTTAAGATTAAAGAAAAATAGAAGCTGAGAAATATGTGGTGTTTGTGGGTCTCTGTGTATGCAGGCCTGTGTCTCTGCATGTGTATGTGTATGTTTTAAATTAATTCAGTACAGAGGTATGTATATAGTCTTCCGAAATTATTAATGCTCTAATATNATCTCATCCCATTTCCCGAAATGAGGAAAAATAGTTTTATTTCAGAAGATTTAAGGAAAGTGAGATATTTTTAAATAGTTGAGAAATGCTTCCTCATTTCAAAGTGTTGTTAATATTCTCCTCTTACTACTTTAAAATTGTTATATATGGCGCTAATACAATCCTTTTGGTTCTTGCACATGGCAACTGTCCATAAGGCAGAAGCAAGGAAGTAAGGTAGGCAGGCAGACAGGCAAACAAATGATGACTCCAAATGAGAAGGAAATATAACATTTGTTAATTTACTTAATTTTATTTTAGCACAATAAGGGATGGAACCAAAACTGAGTCACTGCATCTAAGCATTGCTGATATCTACTTCAAGTAGTGATAAACAAACACCAATTCATTTTATAAGTCAATCACTAAATTCCATGCTACTCATTTTGTTCTGTCCAGAGATAAAAATAAGAAACAATATATTTAAATATCGCAATGTATCAGTCTTAATTACAGGTGTAATGCTACACATTCAAAGTGTCTTGTTATATTCCAACATACCTATAATAGTAGCAGCTAGGGTGGTTTTAATGAAAGGCAGTGTACTGTCATAGGCTTCCTGCGGAATATGTATAACTTGATTTCTGAGTTTATTTTTGTGCAGAATAGATTGCAGTCCCTCTAGAATTCCAACCCACTTTCGCTTTTCATTCTCGTTTTCTGTTAGGATCAGGAGAGAGCAGGTCTTTGAAGGAGAGCCTAAGAGAGAAGCCGTCACCTTGAGAACAAGAAGACAGAAAAGGAAAATAATTGCATGAAATTCACCCACGCGAGACATGCCTCAACTAAAGGAGACAAAATGGAAATGTACGCTAGAATCAGACAGTGTTTTTCAAAATGCCCTGCTCCAGACTGAGCCTTCTGTAGGCAGCATGAATAAATGCAGTGGCAAAAGAGAGAAGGGATAATGACACTCTGATTTCTTAGAGGCCATCTACTCTGCAAATATTGACATGGGGGAATTTCTTCAGTGTTTTCTCCTGCCTCAAGCAACTTGGAAGTATAGACAATCGTCTTAATTCTTAGCCCTAATTTTGGGCCTAAGACTATGAATCAGAAGAGAGACTGTACAGTTCTGTAAAATATATACTCTTCTGAAAGGCGTTGAAAACCTGGTTCTGCCAGCGGGCCTGGGCAACCCAGAGCGAGATGGAGCCCATTAAATGNGACCGACCGACCGACCGACCGACCGACCGACCGACCAACCTGGAAGTCTTCTGTAAATATAGTAAAATTAATTCTTTGCAATGACGACTTGTATTAGACCTCCGCAAATGAACAAATTCTGATTTAGAATCTGGTGGAACAAAGCGTCTAATTACTAATATAAAGATATTCCTCCCATGTAGAAAAATATTTTGATTAAATAACAGAGGAAACATATTTTTAATTTATAGCAAACATTCCCAGTAAATGGGTTAAATCACAATATTTCCAGGTTCATTTTTTATAGATTCAGTTGCTATTGAGAAAGTTGTTTTAATAACTAGGAAGATATAGTTGATAGCAGGAGTGTCTGCAGGGTATGGTCACAAAAGTCAAGACGGCTGCCATGATAGCTTGCTCAAAGCCCTGCCCACTGTATATAGGTAGTCCTCAACCTGAGCCTGGAGTTAGTCATAAATCATGCCAGTTATAACCAGGTCAACACATTTGTGCATAATCCTAAAAATGAACACCACTGTCGCTAAGCAAATCTATTGTCTGCAATGGGAGATTTTTGCCAGAGTCTGCAGAGGAAAGTATAGAGCCAAATATCGGACAGGATTGGGGCTCAGAGAATGTTATTCTGATGGAGCAGCCTCACCTGGGTCCATTGGACCAGCAATAGGGTGAGGCTGTGGGAGGTGAGCTGCAGCAAGTGGCCAGGAGGCTCCACTGAGGATCGGAAGCAGCTGCCGCCCCTTAGCAATGAGGAGGTGGTGCAATCCAGACCTCCTCCTGGTCCAGGGCATCAACATGGTCAGCTAGACTATTCATGAGGAAGTAACCCCTCTTCTAATGAAAGGGGCTGCACCAGCGTTGCCTACTTAACCCTGCCCTGCGGACTTGCTAGAGCAACATGTCCAGTTCTGTGCCTCGTGTCCTCGAGCCTTGTCTCCTGTCCTATTTGACTCCTGGCCTGCTTTCCTGGACTTTGGAAATTGGCCCATTGGAATTGGTTGCTTTTCAAGGACCTGTTTTAGAGGTTTGAATAAATACCTATAGAACTCTTACTCTGTGTATGTGTGTGTGTGTGTGTGTGTGTGTGTGTGTGTGTGTGTGTGTGTGTGTGTGTGTTTGTAGCAGGGCAGCACAATATCAGTTTCGAGCAAACAAAATCCTAAATTACATTGCAAATAGCCATAAATGTTGTTTTGGGTTACTCAGCACCCAAAATACAATCACATGACTGGGTTTCCTTTGGAACTTCAAATCTGGGTCATAAATAACTTTTTGGGAGGGTCTGTCATAACTTCAAATGATTACTAAATGACCAGTCATTAAGCAAAGATTATATGTATGTACACCACCCATTTTTTTATGTATAGACTCCCACGTTTAACTGGCAAATTAGCATGTGGACAATCAAGTTAGATCTGAACTTACCATATGCAACACATCGCTGCTCATCTTGACAACAAAGCCCTGGATTAGCTCTTCAAAGATATGCAGGATTTTGGTCATGTAGCCATGCTTGGCTGCTCTGGCCTGCAAATGCTTGGCAGTTTGTAGGGCTTGGGATTTAAGGGATTCCTCCTTGAGCACCACAATATAATGTCCAGATAAGCGCCATGACTCCTGGGTTTAAACAAGAAGGAGAGAATGGGTCACAGGGCAACCAAAACAAAAATCTCTGTTGGTAAAATGCAGTAATCAAGTGGGGTGCATTGATTGAAAAATACTCTTCCAAAAAGGTTGAATTTCAAGCCCCATAATCCATTGATTGGTCATTTTAGGGGAAGGATTATGGAAGTTGAAGTACACTTCAGTTGTACCAGTTATAACTAGAAATTTATAAAGAAAAGTGACAGTTTACTCCCTCTGTGAACAAAATTACTGGTAAATTACATGGACTGGGTCAGTTCCACTCCTGAATGAATGAAATAGCCAGAAAAGTCATTCTAGAGCAGGGGTCCCCTACCCCCGATCTGTGGGCCAGCATGGGTCCGTGGCATGCCAGAAACCAGGCCATACAAACAAGGGAAGCCCCATCTGCGGGATAAAGGCAGCACATGAAACCATACACACACACACACACACACTGGGGACCACTATTCTAGAGAAATTGTTTCTTTTCCTGAATTTCTATGCAATGTAATCTTACTAAGCAACACTATTATACTCCATACTCATTTTTATCAAATGTTAGTAAAGAAGAAACCCGGGATTTCATATCCATAAAACTGTATCTGAATCAAGATTAGTATTTCAAATCCCACACTATCCCTAATTATGCCCTGGATATTGTATATTCGCTTATCTGCTAATTCATTTGAGGAATGCATCAATTTCTTATTGCCTCCAAATAACATATTCAGCAACTGCTATCATGGTTTAACATTCCTTCTGTCTAATTATGGACTTTAATTGGTTTTGTTTATGAAAATATAGTTGTTGCAAACCTTGAAGAAACTCAAGGGAGAGAAATCAAATAATACTGCTTTGGCACTGCTGATGGGAGAAGAAACAAGTATTTGGCAATTTTCAAATCACTCCACCCATGTCAACTGAAGAGACAGGTCTTGGATGAGGCTGGAGTAGGGATGGGTTTTTGCCTTGACTAGACTGGCTTGACTAGACTGTAGCCATCAGTCAAAACTCATTCTGCTTTTGTACAAGTGTTTTTCATGTGGATTTGCCCATCAGCTGATAATTGGGAAGGTTTTAGATCTAGTGTAGTGCTCTTGCAAAAGATCAGTAAACCTATATTCAAAAGGAGCAGAACAGGAGTTTCATGCTATTCCAGAAGAGCTCTAAAGTGATTCTTAAAAGCAGTTCAAGCAACAACTAACAAATAGCAACTGTGCCAGGGAGCATCAAACAGACAGCTCTTTCTTCCACCTCACCTCACAACTCCACCCTAACATGGTTGATTAGATGCTGTTCAAACTGATTCTGGTCTCATAGGTACGACTCAGCTCAAGAGATCTGGCAGAAACAGAAAGGGAGCCCACCACTGTTCCCTCTAAGGTGCGCGCCTGCGCAGCCGCGCACGTTGCAAGAAATCCCCGCGCAGAAGTTTCTAACTCCCGCGCAGAGATTTCTACCAAAGCAAACGTGGGGAAGTCCTTTGCAGGCGGCTAGAACTGGCTGCCCGCAAAGGACCTCCCCAGACTTGTTTTGATGAGCAGAGCACGGAGCGACTGATGGTAGTTTGTGCCAGCCGCAACCCCTCCTGTTCCTCGGGGCGGCGCTGATGTCTCTCTTGCGGGGCGGGGAGGTGGGAGGAGAGATAGCCAGGGTCCATGTTTGGGTCTTTCTCCCTGCCTCCAGCTCTGAAGATAAACAGCTGCGGCTTCCCAGTTTCCACCCTTCCTTGCGCCTTTTATTACCGTGCAAAAAAAACCTATTACAGTTTTACAAACCGCAATCTGTGGGCTGGAGGAGAATTTCCGCTTANGATCTAGAAAACTGCTATGAATGTAGACATCATAATAGACTGTATTCAATAAATACTTCACACTTTCATTTTATACATTACCTTCTAAACTGGAAGTGTTGTTAAGAATTACACACACACACACACACAAACACACACACACACATTAGTTGGGTATAGCCCCAAACCAAGTCACACTAACTTTACTACGTAGCAGTAGCCGTTAAAATCCATGCTCCTCAAACACCCTGATGAACTACCTCTTTCCTTGCTTTTTCCAATTTACGCATTTCTTGTCTCATAGTGTCTGTTTTCTGCATGATCACTTCCACTTCTTCCTCTTTGTCACGGAGTTGTCGAGTGAGTTTTTGCTTGTAAGAACGCAAGTCTGCCATCCTCTCATTCAATTCTGAGAACTCCTGCATTGCTAGTTTTCTTTGTTGATGAGCATCCTTTAATTCTTTCGACTGTATCTTTAATCTTTCAGATGCCTCAAGAAATTGCTGGTGAAAGGAACAACCCAAATCAAGTTTAAAGCTATATTGAATTTTAGGATACATTTGGGTAATGTCAAATAATACTTAGCAAACTGTACAGAAGCATGCTACAATTATACCCTGGCAACTTTGGGGGAATGGCTTTGCGTCTCCCTCCTATCCTCAGTGTATTAAAAATATGTCAATATAATATCAATATTGGTTTTTTATTATATCACCAGCTTGATATACACAATACACTATACATTTATTTTTAATTTCTCTCTATTATTCCTCTTCTTTTCTTACTTTTTAAAATCTATTTCCCTTTCTTCTCCTATCTTTTACTCATCTCATTTACACACTGTACCTAGCATCATCTGATTAATTCTTTCTCTCTTCCTTATCTTTCCTCCATTCTCACATCTTCCATTGTTCTATTTCCTTCTCTCTTCTTTTCTTCTCCATTTTCAAAGAAAAAAATATATAGATTTTTTAAAAATTATTTTACTGTGATTGCTGCTTTTGCTCTCCATTTGCATTTTGCAGATCCTTTCCTTCCCAGAAGCAGAAAAAGAATGTAATTGAAATATTCTGGCAAAAGGAGCCATGGGATAAGAAATAAGTAAAATATTTACACTTGGTGATCATCTATTCTTTAGAGATTGCATAGGAAAAGCAGTTTTTCACTGGAATTAAAGACAGAGAATACCTTAACATAGTTATGTACATAGTTTTTTACTTAAATGCTTGGCCTTCCTCTAATGAGCCATCAGCCAGCTGGTCTTCATACGTGCAGGAGTGCCAAAAAACAGAAGAACAGCCACCTGGTGCACATGCGTGAGCCAGAAACATGATCTTCCAGTTTCCACCACGTGCATGCACACCGGCCAGCTGGTCTTCTCATGTGCACCAGAAACCAAAAGATTATCTTCCTGGTGTGTGCATGCGCACCGGGCGGCTGCTCTTCTGGTTTCTGGCCTGCATGTGCACGGCATTCAATGCCAAAAAGATTCGCCAACACTGCTCTAACCCAAGGATAGGCAACCTTTTGTAACTCTGAGCAACAAGTGTGATTCCGTGATTGCATTTGTGCAGGTTTTTTAACTTGGTTAAGGAAAGGTTAAGGTTTGCCCAATTCCTTCATCTATGATTTGATTTCCATGTTCAGCCTATAGCCCTGGAATTCTCAAATGGTTTCCCACCCAAACACTACTAGTAGTGGTGTGCCAAATATTTTGAGCCCAAAACATCCCATTCCGAAACTCATACATCCCATTTCAAAATGGAAACAGGCTGCTTTACCTCACAAAAAACATTTAGACATTATTCTGGTATTAGCAAAAATGTTCTGAGCTTGAAGTGACAGAGTTATGATTAGCTAGAATGAAAATTTTAAATTCAAAACATTTTGTACACCACTATGTTAATTATGCAGTATAGGTTTTCCTTAAGCAAAAATATATACAGTATATAATTCAGTTTAATCCACAATTGAAATGTTACTCTCAATTGGCTTTGATGTATGGAGGAAAGCAGTAGAGGAAATAAGAGAAAGTTAATGAAATGTGGCATTGTTTGTTCATGGGTAAGAAACTAGATTTATGGCTATGACATTATAGCATAAAATGTCTTGTTGGCAATTGCAGGATGCCGTTTTTTTTAGTGACAAATTTCTTCTGGCTTTTTTTTTTGTTGTTTATTAAAAAACACTTAAAATAAACCTCGCATCTCTCTCCAATAGTTGGGGAATTATTAAGTAAATATAATGGAGCAGCTAAAGAAGTCTTGATTAGTAAAGTCTAGATCCTGATTATTGTCTACTCAGCCATGAAGATTGCTGATTTATGTAATCCTAAAAAATATTGCATGTCTATATTATAGAATTCCTATTATGCTGAAATATATTATTCCCAAGCTTTGGAGAAAAAGTATGTGATATGAATATGACAAGTAATATATTTTATTAATAACCATTCTTAAACTATGTTGTGCAGCTGGCCAAACCAGCTGTTTTATACCTCTATTTCCTAGGCAACATATATCTCACTTCAGTGAAGCATTTTCTACAATAAATACCTTATGGAGATCTTCCTTCTCCTGCCTTAGTATCCTGCATTGCTTTTCAAGGCCTTTTAACTTGTGGGTGGAGTCTTCATGTTCCTGTCGCAAGGTCACTGCTTCTTCAAACTGCCGTCCTAACCTATTTGAATCTATGAACAGGGAAGTTTCTTTTCACAGAGGATAGAGAAACATTTTTCTCCATTAAGATGAACAATTCTTCCCTGCTGCAATATATAGACAGGCAAAATCACAATTTATCACTCTTTGAATTCTCATTGAACTAATGAGAATTCTCACTGAATATTTTCCACAAGGAAGAGGAAGGAAATAATCACAGGCCAATGTGTGGTGCAGGCATTACAGGAAGAAACAGGAAATTAAGTTAAGCGATGAAGGCCCCCACCCCTCAGTCATCTCTAGCTTAAATTAATCTTCCTGCCATCAGGATCTTTTCAATCGAAAGATTCTTTATATTTAAGCTTTTAAGCTAACAAGAACTGGGAACCTCTACAAATAAAAATACGAAAGAAGGGGAGGGAAAATAAGACATAAAATCTTCCCTTTGGCTTTCTATCATAATTCCACCACGGAAAACTGGTGGGGGAAGGGAGCAATCTTTCTGAACAACCAATACTTTAGGAATTTTAAAAATATGTTGTGTGAACTTCTGTAAATATGGCTACTGTTGCGTGAAGGGAAAAACATAACCAATTACAAACCATGGATTTATCAAAACATTGCCTGGCATTCCTTCTACTTTATCATTCTAAACCATTCTTCTTACTGCTACTTCTAATGAATTACTGAGCATCAGTTACATCTCATTTTTATTTTAATGAGGGCTTATATTTAATCAGCAGTAGCAAATAAAGATACTACTTAAGGTTGGCGCCATGTTTACAGCATTCCAGGTTGTTGTTTTTTTCCTTTTTTTAAATCTGGGAAAAAATACCATATTTTTTGGAGTATAAGATGCACCCTTTTCCATCAAAAAAGAAGCTAAAAATCTGGGTGCATCTTATACACTGAATACAGCATTTTCTGCCTCCCGAAGTCCTGCCCCCTTCACCAAAATGGCCTTGCATACCCTTATAGAGGCTTTCAGAGAGCTCCTGGGGGCTGTAGAGGTCAGAAATGAGCAATAAATGGGAATTTTTTGTTCAATTTTGCCCCCCCCCCCAGTCCCCAGGAGCACTCTATAAGCTTCCTAAAGTCTATACATGCCCTTTTTTTTGACAAAAATGGGCCCGTTTTTGAGAAAAACAGGACAATTTTGGGAGGTTTGCAGAGTGCAAAAACTTTTTTTTATTTGCCTCTTCAAAACCTTGGTGCGTCTTAAACTCCAGTCCATCTCATACTCCGAAAAATATGGTAGGCAGGCCAAGGAATCTGGCAGGGCAAATAAAAAAGATTTGTAGATGATTTGTTATCCACAGATGCTATATTATGGTTCTGAGGTTTATAATATGGTTGCTTGAACAAAAAGAAGTCCAATATACATACATGTAGACACAAACAGACACAATTGTCTATATGTTATGCATGTTATGCAGAATTCTTCTTTATTTATTTGCAAGCAACTATGTTGAAAAAAAATCAGTTATGACCCTTACATTCAAATGATTACTTTTTAAATTTTGGAGGAGGATTAACAAGCGAATTTTAATCAAAACTCAAAACTGTAACTTTTTCACCAGAATTGATGCATATTTTTTAAAAAGCATTTTACAAACTAAAAAAATAATTAATTAAAGTAAATATTCTTTGACTATTGATTTTGATACACTGACACTGACTTCCTCCATGGTTTAAGGCAAGCATGTCCAATCTTTTGGCTTGACTAGCCACATTAAAGAGTAATTGTCTTGGGCTGCATACAAAATATATATAATATAGTTAATGTATATAAATAACAAATTTCCTTTATTTTGGAGGGTCTTATGGGCCACATTACTAATTGTCTAGGGCTGCATGCAGCCCTCAGACCATGGGTTTGACACACATAGTTTAAGGACTGATTTCTCTAAATTGCTTCACCTGCAACCCATCTATAATCTCATAACAATCACAAACCATGCCTAAATATGTCACATATAAAGATTACATAAAATGTATTGTTTTAATATATAATTTGGACAACTATGGAGATTGTCGGTCATGTAGGTTATGGTTGTCCCAAAGGTGCTTTTTCAAAAGGCAACTGGACTTCTTTTGTTTTTGCTTGAAATCATTTCACTTCTCAACCAAGAAGCTTCTTCAAAATGTCTTCAACCAAAAAAGCATCTTTGGGATATGATATGGACCTTGTTCATTTTCTCACTCAGCCAAGATGCATAAGAGACAAGTTCTAGTTTTACAAACAATAAAAATTCACAAACAAATAACTAGGAGGTGGTCTAGTAGCAGATTCATTAACACATTGTATTAAAAACCATAAGCTCTCTTCCTTCTATGTAGCTCACATAAGCCAAACAAAAGAGTCCCCCCACACCAAAATGACTGAGGTACACCTTATAAAGTGCATAGCACAACTTAAGTTTTTATTACTAGATTTAGTAACATTCTCTAAAACTTACCTGCTATTTTATTTTTCAAACGTTCAATTTCTTCATTTAGCTTTTTTATTTCTTTATCCCTATTTGTGTTCATTGTTAAGCGAGTAGAACCATGAAGGGACTGAAGAGCCTGGGTGGACTCTTAAATTGAATGGAAAACATAATGGTTAGAAAGGATAACATTATATTATTCCACTAGATGGACTCTAAGAAAGCCAATGAGAAGTTATACCTTGCAACTTCCTACTTAGTTCCAGCTTCTCCTGTTCCAGTCTTCGTATTCTTCTCTCATATGCCTCTATTTGCAAACTATTCTCTAGGTCACGTTGAACATCCTCATCTTTGGTTATGCTACTGGACTGCATTACACTTCTAAGTGAACCTCGATCAGAAAAACAGCTGAGACCCAAAATAATCAGTGCACACATTAATTAGCATGTTTAATCAACCATAAACAGCAAATTTCCTGTTGAAAATTCAATAGAATCAGAAAAGTTAATATAATCTTAAGTAATAGAAGTTATATAAATCACTACTGAGCAAGCTGGCAATTAAACAGCAATCTGTTTTTTCTCACTCCAACCCTACAAAGGAAAGCTTACTCGCAAGGAAGTAGCAGTAATAACTTCTACCCAAATGGGATTTAAAGCAGAAGATTGATACCACTGCTCCCACATACTCTTATCTCTTTCACTTTTTAAGACAGGCAAAGGAAATACAGGAGAATATTGCCTTTCCATGTAGGAAGGTATAGTACTTTTTTTTTTCATAATAATCTCAGGTTTACACTGAGAAAACACTCAGGAAAACCTGGAGCATCTTTGAAAGATGGAGCACAGAACACTGGATTCAGCCAGGCCAGTGATCTGATTCAAGTTCAGTTTGCTAACATTATATACATTTATGACAGGAGCTTGAAAATTATTTTCACCAGATTATATTTCTTTTTGCCTGCCAGATATTCCTTTATCAATCAATCAAGACTAGCATAAGGTTTTAAAAAATCTATAACTAACTAAGCTTGTGGATAGCTAATCTATCATCCTTCCTATAGGATACCTGTCTATTAAGCTCATTGAATAGCTTTGTGATAATCATTAGTCCTTAAATGTTTGAGGACAGCATTTGATGTGAACACTCTAGATACACTGCAGTAGCTTCATGAAGTACAAAGAAAAGACCCAACACAAAACAACTGATCATGTACAAAAAAAATCAATAAAGAATAATAATTTTTTTAGCATAACTCAGAAATCTATATAATAGAAGTTATAGTAGTAGTTTTATCTACTAGATTGGAGCTTACAGAAACTTTTTTTTTTTTTTTGTAGTTAGGAACCATTAAAAGGTCACTTTGGAATATGTGCCTGATATGAACCATCAAGCATTTATACCTGAGTTACTTTATAGTAAGATGGGCAGCATATAAATTGAATAAATAAAATAATCAAAAACTATTATTTAGCTTTTTTGTCCCATCAATATATACAGATACATAATTAGCAGCAGTAAATCTGATGTGGGCAAAAAAGATGTGTGGTAAAGCACTGTCTTTTTACCGATCTAACATGCTGTTATATAGTGGAATAATCATTGTATTATATTCTATAATCTTAGAAACCATCTGATGTACTAGACAGGGTTGGAGCACATGAATTCCAAGCTTAAATAATACATATGTATATAAATATACTACCTCGCATTTACTCTAAAACACTGCCATTATAGAAAAGTACCTCTTTTTCTTCCCCATATCATTCTGTAAAGCATTTGTACCTGACAGTGTTATATAAATTAATCATGCGAGCTTTCTAAACTGCAATTCTTTTTTTTTCAACCTACCTTTCTGTTGTGTAGGTAAAGCCAACAAAAGGTAAATGCAACCCAGAAAAGCCAGTATGAGAACCAGGGGGTATCATCTCCTGCACAAAACCAAATACAAGAAGAAAACGGAGATGAATCAAAAACATGCTGAGTTAATTCAAAACTGAGAATATAACATAATATAAATAGAAAAAGCATGGATTTAAAAAAAAAATTAAAGCCTTTCAACCTGCCTTTTAAGGTGCACTATCCTCACAAAAGCAGCTTAGGGGATCCTAACTTAAATCATCCTTCCTACAAATATTTCATTTATTTGCAAATTTAATCTGTACAACATCTTAATTTATTAATAGAGCATTACTTAAATTATAATCAGATCTAGTATCTCCTTATTGTACAGTATGTATTTGCATAGTTTTTTCAAATTATAGAAAGACCATTGTGGTGGGTGTTTTTAGCATTTGTCCACATGCTTGTGAAGCCCACTTCTTTTTGCACTGTGCTTACCTGCTTCTTATGGTAAAGCTATCAGTGCATGATGGCAACTAGGGCTTTTTTGTTCATTAGCTGGCTTGTCACAAGTCCTGATGCTGATGTGAGCTCAGAGAAAATGGCTGCCCCAAAGTCATCCAAAGCTCTTCCTTGATTAAGGAGTCCAGCATATCAGTCATTACAGCATGCTGGTTCTCTCCATTTATAGAAAAAATATTTTTCAACATCCCTGTAAAGGGTTTTTCTAAATACCAAGTTATTTTATTTTTAGTTTTCTCCCTTGATTTTTTTTAAAAATTTACTCTGACTTAACCCAGTCCCAATCTGAAGCAAAGAATGAAATGTCCAGATATGAAGTGAATGAATAAAATGTGTCCTGAAAGTGAAATGTAGTTTGACTGAGAAATTGTGTATTGGAGAAATTAAGATTCTGGAATTTCATTTAGAAAGAAAATCCTTCACATCAATATTTTTTCCTAAATATCATTCAATCTGAACATTAATTTTAAGAATTGCATGAACTCAAGTATTACATTTTATCTAAAGCTTAATATTGTACAATATGTATATCTCTTCTCACCCTAGGCAAATACTTTTAGCTTTAAAAAAAAATAATCTGACAATCTTCTTTATTAAACCAGATACAATTAAGAAGGTAATTTGGCTTTATTCATTCAGGGAATGTATTTAAATATGAAAGAAGTTAAATTTAAAATTGATCAGCCTGTCAAACAGAACAAAGCAGTAGAAATATGTATCATATTTAGTATATTTTAGTGTGGATATCTCTTTAGTTTACTGGAGAAAATACACAGGTATACAGAACCGCATAAAAATAATTAATATCAGTTCATACTACATGGAAAAGCCATCCAAGACTTTTCCATTTCTGACCTCTTAAGGAGAAGACAAAAGGTAGAATCTTAGAGTCACCTAAAGGCTCAGGTTTAACTGATTATTTTTAATGAATTCAATGGTTTGTTTAAATGTTCTATATTGGGTTTTGGCAAAATACTATGTTCCAGACCCTTGGGGAATGCACTGAATCTTTCAAGGCCCAATCCAAAGAGAGAAAAAGATAAAGAACAAGTAAAAACAGGAAGATGAAACCAACCAAAGACACAGAAAACACATCACAAGGGGCTCAAGCCATTCTAGTCCAGAGCCTGGGAGATCATCTGCAGATGTGGCCCATCTTTATAAACCAATTCCTACTTCAAAAAATATATTTCTGGACAATAATAATTATGGCTCCCAGGAGGGGGAAAATGCAACGTTGTCTGCCCAGAACATAAAAGTTTTAAATATCCCTGGTTATATGTAAATTTATGAATTGGTACTATTTGGAATCTGAAGTCTGGTTATCAATATAGCAAATGAAAAAATATTTTAAATTTAGTAATTTCATGCATGCTGCTTTTAGAAGCATTGGCATTCTGCAAAGCGGATGACCTAAGAAAGGTTTAAGATTAATTTACTACAATAAGTTAAGGAAAATTTGAACTCTGTTTCCAAATTATTATTGCAGAACACTCTTGATTTAGTATACTATTCAGGGTAAAAGATAATTAACATTATTTGTGGTATAATGTCAGGTTATAAATGATATAATTTATACAAATCATCAGATTCAACAGACTTTTATTCTTTTGGGGGGATGCCCAAAAGAAAAAATTCCCCATCACGGCTAAAGTCTGGTAAATCAAATTTACTCTAGTAAATTTAATCAAGACAAGCCATTTTTTTCACACTGTCTACACATGCAAAGCAGAATAGAAGTAGAAACATTAAACATATTTCCAGGTCTGTGCAGTTCCTATCAAAATAGCTAGAGGCAGAGATTTTAAACTCTAAAACTCCTTCCAGAATGCCTCTGCAACATTAAAAAATGTCATTATTCAGCTCAGAAGCTAGAAAATCAGTGATGTAGAAAACAAACAATAACAACAAAGAGAAAATATAGTAATTACTCACAGGATTTCTCAATATATCATCGTCTACATCAAAATTGGATGTATCTGAAGGACTGCTAACTTCTGGAATGTAAGGTGCTTCTAAATTTCGGATATTATCCCAATTGAGTCCTTCAAAAAATGCATGTGATTTGAAATCTTCTATTCCATTCTGCCCCAGACGACGTTCCCTGCTGCAGATAAGTCGTTGGATTAAGTCTTTTGCTTCTTCAGATACGTCAGCAACATGAGATGGAAACTGGAACCTCTCCTGAAGAACAGGAAGGGAAATCTGAACTGAAGATATTCTTTTCTATGACAAAATATTTTTAATGTACATTCGTACCATTAAAAAAAAACCTGCAGAAGGCTTCTTGAGCTTCAAAATTGTTAAATGTTCTTGTTTTTAGACTTTCTACTTTTTAATATTAGTCATTTATCTTTGACGTTGCTTGTCTGAAGAAACACCCTTAAATATATTTTCTTAGTCTAATTAGACTAATTTCAGTATGTTGTACCTATATATTTTGCTGAATTGGCTCATTTTAAGTCTGTTTTGTGGCAAAAATATACAGTGAAAAGGTTTTCAGAAATAATTGAATCAATATATTCCAAGTATACAACAGTAGAGGTCTGAGAAATACCTGTTCTGAACATTAGTCACAGAAGATTTTTCTTAGAAGATTCACTGAGCAATGTTGTTACTCATACATACAAACATGAAGATTTTGGATCCTTGTGACATATTTCTGTGAAAATTACACAGATAAGAGGAACAAATATTTCATAGCACTTACTTCATGATTCATAATCTTCCCATAGGTTTCCACCAGTGACTCTGCATAAAAAGGTGTTTCTCCGTATAACATTTCATACATGCAAACACCTAGGGACCACCAATCACATTCAGGTCCATATTTTCCCATGCCATCCTCCATGGCTTGCAGTATTTCAGGGGAAATATAATCAGGGGTGCCCACTGCGACTGAAGATTGTACCTTGAAGAAAAACAATGTAAAATAGTATATAAGGAGAAATTAATTTAATTGTATGCATGTATAAATCTATAGGTCAATGAGCATTACTGATATACAAAAAGAAAAGTTCATGCTTTCTTGTATTAAGTATAAATCAAAAGAATCATAACATAACTTTCTCATGTACAAATAAAAAGTTTAATTGGCCATGAAACAGTGAAAGGAAATACATGGGAATATTACAGGATACTCCATTCATAAATAATATATAGCAGTTCTGATTAAACATGTTGCAGAGAATGATACAATATAAAATTTTGCTCTATTCACATGTACTTTTGCAGTTTATCTTCCAAATATAATCCCCAAACTAACTCAAATATACTGCAGTTTAAGTATTCTAGTAAAAAAAAACACTATACTTTTTTGATACATACAGTGCCATCCTCGCTCATCTTTAAGCAGGATCCAAAATCTGCCAGGCGTATGTGACCATTCGCATCCAATAAAACATTGTCAGGTTTTATATCTCTGATTTTTGGGGAAAAAAGATATTATTTTAAATCAGGCACATAGTTGGAACATTACCTTTAACCAGGTATTCTAAATGTATATTAAAATCAACTTAGTTCTTATAAAAATTGGATACTGACAATTTTATACCTTTTATATTTAAAACAGCAAAAGATCAAATCGTCTATGACAGAAAAATAATCCCCAATATCACTATAAAGAATACTGGAACGTATCACTATGATTATATAAACCTATCATATTAAATTCCTACCCCCAGTAGGATGTGCACACTTTGAAAATAATTTTGAAGAATAGCAATAGCAGTTAGCAATAGCAGTTAGACTTATATACCACTTCATAGGGCTTTCAGTCCTCACTAAGCGGTTTACAGAGTCAGCATATTGCCCCCAACAATCTGGGTCCTCATTTTACCCACCTCGGAAGGATGGAAGGCTGAGTCAACCCTGAGCCAGTGAGATTTGAACAGCCGAACTGCTGAACTGCAGTCAGCTGAAGTAGCCTGCAGTGTTGCACTCTAACCACTGCGCCACCTCGGCTCTTTTAGAATGGCGCGTCTAACGTGGTTCCTTTATGCAGCTATTTGTACATTATTTTTTTCAGGTTAGTATAGAAGTCTGAAACAAAACATGGGTCTTCAAATATTAGCATTTAAATACGTTCTGAAGAATTTCTTCCAAATCATTTTTGAATTGTGCTCTTTGACAAAGAATTTCCTGGTTTCCTATTTCCTTCAAAGTGCATATTTGAAAATGGTTTATAGTTTTCACAAAAAATAGCTCTAAAACAATAATGAAATATATCTTTATACATGCATTCACAATTCCCTTGGTTTTGTTGCTAAATTGAACATATCTATTCTATTTCCTATTTAATTTGTATCATAATAATGAATTTGCTAAGTTTGTGTTCTGACTTTGTCCCTGTGTGCCTCCAAATTTCTTAAAAATTAACTTTTCAAGAAATAATGTCTAATAAACATTCTACATGTTTAGACAAAAAAAGCCTTAAAAGCCAGTATGTATCTGACATACTTCATGACAGCGTATTTATGAAATTATTATAAAGGAAACGTTCCAAACATAAATTAAATAAAACTCATCATCTACACTGCAAAAATAGTAGAATTAATGCATGAAGAAAAATTATTGTTAAGAAGTAGATCATAGATCAATATTCACATATACTGCAGGTTTTATCATGTGTTTCTCATCTGTTTACTGAAGATTCTTTTGGAACACGTATTCCTAAGAACAACTCAACAATAAAAATGCACAACACGTACTTTGTCTCCCATTTCCTCTCACAGTATAAGAGGAAGGAAGGTGATTAACTACTGAAGAGCTTTAAAACTGTGGTATTTCTTACAAAGCTTAACTAACACAGGGACATTTTCTGCCAGCAAAAAAATCTGCAAAAAGAAACACTAAGAGCTAATAGAGGTTTCTTTGCTGTATAGTGTAATCAGAACACAGTAATGTAACACATGTGTACTCAAAGGTAAACCTCTCTTACCTCAGAGGGACTTACTCTGAGGTAAGCATGCATAACATTGCAGCATAAGCAAGTAATAGAATTAATGGATAGCTATATTAATTCACTATACTGATTTTTTTCTCCAATTTTATCTTACATACTTATTCTAATACCATTTTGCTGGCTAGCTCTGGTCAAAGCAATAAGTCTTCAAATGATTTCCTGAAGCAATGTAGTAATTTCTAAAGGTTATTAAAAGCCATTTTGTATTTAGCAAGATAAAAAATTACTTTAAGGTGGAAACTATTGACCTCCTGAAACGACCACACATTAACAAACATTTTAATCACATTACTTTATACACTCAATATCGTACATTTTTGTGATGTTTTATATATATTGTAGCATTAAATTGTGCTCTATGAAGGACACAAAATAGGAGTAACAACAGAATACTGGATTTCATTTGTGAGGGATGCTGTTCTGCACTATAATCCACAAGCCGAACTCTTCTAAGACATTTTTATATGTCACCCACTAACTAGTGACTCAACCCCTCCAACAGCCCAGATGTTTCAACTATCTCAGAAATGAATATTCTCTTTCTGATACTGAACTTATAACATTATGTACATGAAAGCAAATCTTTTGCAATTCTCAGCTTGCTTCTAATTTAATTATTCCTTAGGTTTATCTTCATGCCACGATGCAGAGGACTGCATATTTAACATATGCCACCATAGATTAATTGGCTTGAGAAGTTCCCACAGAAATTCAATATTATTATTGTTTAATTCCTTTGCCGGATCTGGCACTGACTTACCTACAAAAAGGTTATCTCAGGATTTGTAGCAATGTCTATTATATAAAATGGTGCAGATATATTGCTTTATTTAGTAGGATTCACATGCTATGAGATGAGTGGCTTACATTCTCTTCTTATATGAAAAGAATTTAATAACAATAACAATGATGTCCCCATCTTTTTTAAAAATATATAGTATGATCTATTCAAGAGAATATATTTGCCTCCTATTTTCCCCCATAACAACACCCTGTGAGGTGGGCTGAGCTGAAAGAAAATAACTGGCCCAAAGTTACCCAGCCCACTTTCATGCCTAAGAGAGGCCTTGAACTCCCAGGCTACAGGTTTCTAGTTCAGTGCCTTAACCACCAACCCATACTGTCATAAATTGTATATTGAATTAATAAACTACAGTTCAAAATAATAAGTTATTAAGAAGAAATTAATGTCACTGTGAACAAGAAACAACCAAGTAAAACTTATACAAGGTCCCCACCCAGTGCTTCTTTAAAAAAACAAGTTTTAACAGCTCTCCTAAAATACAATAGGGTGGAGTTAGTAAACTGCTCCAAATAAGTGGGACTACTTCACAGAAAGTGCAACACCCTGGGCTACATATTTGACAATACCTAAAAGGAACATGTGGAGTGATTGAGCTTCCTAATCCTGTAACTAATGTCACCTTACATTAAGAAAATTTCTATATGAGACAAGTTTATTTTTGGTGCTGTCTTAATGTTTATAAACATGTACAGACTTTGTTCAAGATTACAACAATAAAAAGATCAAATTGAAGGAGTACTCTTAAATTCAAGAACATATTCTTTATTCCTTATAAATATAGCATCACATTCTAGATGTAATCTTATAAGCAAATGAGGAAGTTTTCTTCATGTAAATTTTACACTTACATAATGAATTTGTTGCTAACTATGGTCTTTTACAGTATCTTACCTCAGGATAAAAACTGGCCATGCTGGTATTTACGAATCAGAAAAGCACCTATTTATTTAGAGTACTCAAAAGCACACATATAAAACTCTTGCGTGAAAGACATGGACAAAATTCTTAATTGATTTTATGCATATTAAATAAATCAATATTTTATTGATTTATTTATTCTTATACGATGTATTTAACTTTCCTTGGTTAAAACGCAGAACACTAGTTTGAAGAACTGTAACAGGATTCATTTGACCACCAATTTATTTCCCAACAACTAGGATATTAAAAGTTTTCCTTCACTGGCATAGGTTTTCAATATTTAAGTGGATTTGTGAATTTTTAAAAATGAGATTTAGAAACCTTTGTTATAGTTATAACTATTGCATTTAAAATGTTTTAAAATAAAAATCATATTTCAATTGTTTTAAAAGTTATAACACTTGGATGAAACACTTTTTTTGGCTTGATTAGAGTAAATACACTGATGTTCCTCTCCACTTTTAAATGCACACCAAATCCATGGTCTGTATACAATTAAACACTGCACAGTGGCTACTTCTAGCCAAAATTAACCAGACAGGATAGTCATAAACATCCCAATACCATTTTGTATAGTAAGTTAAGGGCAGAAATAACGTAACAAGCAAATAAACTAGAAATTGGGGGTTTATCAGCTTTTAGTAGTCTGAGAAAGAAGGTATAAAATAATATAATCCTTTAAATAGCAAAGAAGGTTTCTCACCACTTTAAGAATTTTGAAAGTGAAAGTAATCATTTTGCAGTAATGCTAAACATGACAGCAAAGCTGAAAACTATAATCCAATGTTCTGTGAATGGGCAACCTATTATCTAAACAGGGTCTCCATAAGAGTCTTTCTGTACTTCTGTGTTTTCAACACTTTTATGTTCTCATTATTTTTTCCATTCAGTTTTTTCCTCCTGACTGGACAAGTTCTAGTAATCTTGGATTTTGAATTGGTATAAGAAAAAAAAACCTGAAATCAGGTTTTCATGTACTAAATTATATCTCCCTATAATGTAAGAAATTATAGTTTACAAGTATAAAAAGGTACAGAGAGATGCTGAAAATCGTATTGGTACATATTACAGTTTTTTTTTCCTTATCTCTTCTATTTAACTTTTGCCACTACATTTGTGCCAGAGTCTAGACATTTCCTGCAAGATTTTGCCTTAAACCCTGTTTATATATAACCACCTTCAATCTGAAATTTAAATTGAACCAACTAAAATATGAAGTGGTGGAAATATACATTCTGTAAATTTAAATGACTATTTGATTACAGATGGAAGACATGAGCATAATGACTGAATGCTTTAATGAAAGGAAGGGCAGACTAGTCTGCTTGAGCCCCCTAATAACCTACAATATTTGAAGATGGGCATGGCTACAATCTGAAATTATAAATAGGAACATTATTTTAAGGTAACCAACTTCATAACATCTTACAGTTTATGTGCCATTTGTGACAGCTCAGTCTGAGGGGAAAATGGAGGTCTCCGCCACCCATAAGGGGCTAAAGGCATGCCTGACACCACTCCAATGCAGGGGTTTATGGTGTTACTCCCAGCTGTACTCACAAGTTATTAATCCAGAAATTTCCAATAAATTCAAAGGTGTTATAAATCCTACTGGAGCACTTAATGACACATCCATCCTTATTGAGGGACTGAGTTGAAAGCTGGGTGTGCCTAGCGACAAGGGCGTGGCTTAACAGTCTTATCAGACTCAGTCCAATCAATGAGCGGATGAGGTCAACCCAGTCTGGATGCTACCTCCACTACTATGGAGAACCATTCATTTAGTGACCGTTGAAAGTCATAATGGCTCTGAAAAAAGTGACGTACGCCTGTTTTTCACACTTAATACTGTTGCAGCATCCCCATGGTCACATGATCAAAATTTGGACACTTGGCAACTGATTCATATTCATGATGGTTGTAGTACCCTGAAGTCATGTGATCACCTTTTATGATTTTCTAACAAGTAAAGTCAATGGGAAAGCCAGATTCATTTAACAACCACATTACTAACTTAACAACTGCAATGGTTCTCTTTACAATTGTGAAAACAAAGGTCACAAAATTGGGCAAAACTCTCTTAACAACTGTCTCACCAAGCAATGGAAATTTTGGGGTCAATTGTGATCAAGGACTACCTGTATTTATATGCCATAATAAGAAATCTTACCTGTGCACATAATGCAGCTGATGAATGGAATGAATAGCAAGAACCATTTCACCAATGTAGAACCTGGCCATATCTTCCGGAAGCTTGTCTTCAAACTTGCTAAGTAATGTCAACAAATCACCACCCACATAGTAGTCCATTACTAAATACTAAAAAACAAGAACACTTACTGGTAAGAATCACTGCAGAATTATATCATAAGTGATTACATGAAATGTTCACTGAAATACAACTTTAATATATGATTCTTGAAACTGAGTCAAAGTGAGTGGTTTAACTGGACACACTGACTTTAACTGCTTCCTCTTAACTAATAATTAAATTATCCAATTAAAGTAAACATGGGAATTTAAACTAACCTAAACTATTTCCCAGACAATCATTATGCTAGACATATTATCTCTCCCTGCCCCCCCCACCGCTTATTTCATATACATATACTAATTTGCAAAAGAGAAGCATCAATACATATAATATAATTAAAGAAATATAACTTCAAACTTAGTAATTCTCTAACAATTTAAAACAAAAATGGAAATTAAAAAAAGATCATAATGTTCTTTCTTTCTCCTTTGTTGGAGGGTAAATAATTCAAATGTCATTTGTAAAAATCAATGAAATGTATGGTTTAGTATGCTAAAATATGGTCCCAGTGAGTACATGATCCAGTAACTATTCTGAGGCTAAGAACTATGATGAGACTTGTCATTATCTGGGCAAAAGGTTGCTTACAAAACCAAACTCCACTGCCTCAATTGTTGTAAGAAAATATTCGTGTACATAAATTTCTTCTAGTTAATTGAGTTCACTGCAATGATCATTTATAGTCAATTTTTTTTCGCATAGTTGCATTTTACTATGATAAAAGATTCCTAGGCATATACCAGACATTCTACTAAACTCCATAGGAATGGGCAGCTATACTAAATCTAAATAACAGCAGCAATTTAGTAGTTCAATGTATTTCCTGGAGAAATGAAATGACAAGAGTAAATTGCTGGAAAATATAAATTAGCCAAAGCTACACATACTAATTGCTTGTTAATTAGTATTTTTCATTTAAATATGCTAGTTTTCCTATTTTTTTCTAACTTCTTACCATAAGAGTAAGATCAGAGTAAAATATTTCAGAAAAATCTTAATTCCTGTCCACATCTTAAATAAATATAAAAAGAAAAACATTATCAAAAATGGCCTCATACAACAGCAGGAAAACCATGGGTGAAATATACTTTATGACCTAAAGGTGCTCTACTGAATTTTTAAAGACTATTAAACAATACTATAATGTGTAATTTTGACAAATTATAAATTGTTAAGGCTTCTACCTAACCAGGTTGCAAAGTAGCTCTGTGATAATAAATGGATGAATTAATATGATATGAAAAATACAATGAACAAAGAAGGAAGCTAGCTCTCAGTCATTTGTACTTTTGTCAAGGTTCTTAAAAACTGCCTCTATTTCATTCACTTGAAATTCTTCCTTTGGCACTCCTTTTCTTAACAACCCTTCTCAAAGACACAAAGCAATCAGAATATCCCAAGTAACTATTTGCATTTTCCCCATCCTCTTTTTTTTTTTTTTTTGAGAAGATGGCTATTTATTTCTTATTGGATGCAAACCTTTTAGGAACCTCCAAACATTTATACCAGGGATATAATCCTATGCACACTTACCTGGTAGTAACTCATTGAAATCAGCAAGATTTATTTCTGAGTAAACATGCATAGGATTGTACTGTAAAGGCGGTTTCTTTTCAATACTATTCCAGTTTTTATTGTCCGCAAGTGCTTCAGAGCTGAAAATGAACATTACAGAAGCCACAGTTGGCCCACAAACCGGTTTGGCCACTTCTGGATTTTAACAGCAGTCTTGAGATTGTGTGTATAAAATGACACATTAGCAGTACTGTGCCAAGGTAAATAACTAGATGATAAGTGTTCAACTGAACAATTTATTTATCTAATTAAGTTAACTTCAGCTCATTATACTTAATAGCAAACTATAGATGGAAAATAGAGTAACTTGTAAATAATTTGTTTTGGAATTTTGTCTCTCTCTTAAAATAAGAATATAAACAATTACATATTGACCCAAAAGGAAGATGATTCTAGTTTTTAGACTAAACAATCAAATTTTATATACTTTTCAGTTGTGATTGCCAATTTCTATTTCAAATTATTTCATAAACATTTTTTTATTACTTACTATACTTCAGAAAAGAACAGAATCAGAGGTCCATTCAAAGAAAGAATATAGCCACGACAAATATTACATGTTCAATTACTGCATAAAAATTGCCTGTAAAATTAGGTATCCCATCTGTAAATTTAATTAAGCACCTATTTGCATATACAAATAGAGACACACAAACTAGTCATATTACACACAAATATGCATACACTCATTGCAGTGAGAGATTGCAGAAATGTAGGCTCAGCTACCATAAACTTCTGCATGTTTATTTGCAGTAAATGTGCTATGCTGTGGAAATTCTGTTTAGCCCAGCTTACGCCGTATAAATAGAATGTAATGTGAAGAAGAAATTCTTGGGTTCTGAATTGCAAGAAGAAAACTGGAGGCCTCCATACTGGGCTGCAAGCATAAACACAACTGCATACTACTAAATCCCATTAAATTCTGTGTCTCTTACTTCCAAAGAAAGAATGCTTAGGATTTTTAGTTCCATTCATTCAATTTGGCAGCTCCATTCTTCTCTCAGCATCCTTCATGCATAGAGGCCAAGGAACTGCAATGAAGAGCCTCTCTACCCAGGGATAGTGTTGTTGAGCTCTCAGGGTTTCTCCATTGCAATCAATACATATGGAGAATGGTAATAAATATTTGTGTCTTCTCTTCATTAGAAGATGAAGATGAGCTATAACAGTGATTTCTCCTACTTCCACTGAAATGATTCCTTTTCAGCTTTGTTTAAAATACTTGTTACCTCTCATTTCTTCTGTTCCAGTATTTTCAACAAATGCAATCAAAATGGGACCAATCTATATCACACTAAGCTGAGCGCAATTGCTAATATTTGGAAGATGGACTCAAGATTCAGAGTGAACTTGACAGACTTGAGCATTAGCCCCTATCCAACAAGATGCAGTTCAGTAGTGAGAAAAGTAAGGCGTTGCACTTAGGCAGGGAAAATCAAGGTACAGTTACAGGATAGGCGTGGCTCAACAGTATCCCTGAGAGAGCGATCTAGGTTTCCTGGTGAATCACTGCTTAAGTAGTGTGATGCAGCTCCCAAAAAAGCAAACACAATCCTAGGCTGCATCAACAGAGAGATACCATCAAGATCACAAGAAGTGATAATGCCATTCCTCACTGCACTAGTGAGGCTACACTTGGAATTGCATCCAATTCTGGTCGCAATACAAAAAAAGATGTTGAAGCCCTAGGAAGACCGCAGGGAACAGAAACAAAGAAGATGAGGGGCCTGGAAGCTAAGTTGTACAATGTACAGCTATGGGGAAAAGATATGTTTAGTCTAACAAAGAGAAGTCTCAGGGAAGACATGATAGCAATATTTCAATAATTGAAAGAATATTGTTTTATTCTAGGATAAGAAGCAATGAGTGGAAGCACATCAAAGAGAGATCCAAATCTGGAAATAAGGAGGAATTTCCTGACAGTGAGAATTATTATCAAACAGCTTGCTTCCCAGAATTGTGGTTGCTCCATGACTGAGTTTTTCAAGAAAAGATTGGACAACTTGACCAAAAGGTATAAGGACTCCTGACTTGGGCAGGAAGTTTGATTCTGTGAAAATCCCTTTCCCTTCACTGGAGGGGAGGAAGAGGAGAAATCTTCCTTTCAGATAAATACAGTTGATAATGCTCTGAATTCAAAATATTTTGAACTGAGAAACCAGATTACGAACTACTTCTTCATAGGCTTATTGTACACACATACCAAATAGTTTTCATCCTGAAAAGCATAGTGCAACGTTGTAATCCACTGACAGTCTCCATTCACCAAAACATCTCTCTCTTCTCGGAAACAAGCAGTCTAAAATAAGAGAGTAAAAGTGGGAGAAAAAGTTGTTTAACTAATCTCTTGACTTTAATAAACAAGGATATTGCAATAATGTTTATGTAATATAAGATTATAACATTTATAAATATACCACCTCTAGATTAATTCAGTATTCAAACCAAGGAATAAAACTTTTCATAGCTAACCAAAAATAATTTTAAAATCAAATTTAAAAAACATGATAGCATTGGATTCTTGAGATAACATTTTAGTTTTATAATAGCCTGAATGTTTTTAAAATATCTACAGCAATATCCAGTCTCCTAAAGGTGGACATACTGACAGCCTTCAAGAAAACAAGAAACTTTTTAAATGTTTGCTTGAAAGAAAACAAAAGTAAGATTTGAGAATACAAACCTGGCCAATTTATTCAATAATGTTTCCTGGAAATGGGAGCTGAATTTCTTGCATGTATCATAGAAGTCACATATCTCTGAGCCTATTTCTCTCTCTATCCACCCCCACTAATCGTATATGCTTTAAGTAGGGCCATGACTACTTCCAAAGGAAACAGAAGGGGGAAGATAATTATGACTTCAAAAAGTTACTTCCTTCTGTTTTAATGAATGTCCTGGCTAAAGGCCTTATGTTACAAAGGAGGTGAAATCCATATTAGTGTCTCATATTTAGGAACAATGAGTAAAATTAGGATTTTTAAACATAGATCATGAAACATATTTTCATCTAATTTTCTATCTGAATTATTTGATCTGGAGCATGGGTCCCTTACTTCTATCTCCTACTTAGTCTGAACCACAAAATTCCAAGTTTATTCAAATGTCTATTAATCCTACTTCCAAACTTCTGCCATTATCATAAATTGCATTTAAACATTAGAAAGCTAAATTTTAGAATTAGATCAGGCATAAGAACAGCCACAAAATAATGTCTGACTAATTGCATTTTTCTTCAAACACTTCTTAATTTGTTCAAATTGGTTTTTTTAATTCAAATATGTGACAATTCTCCAAGTTCCCACAAAAATAACAAATTCAAACTCATTTCAATCAGACAATACTAAAGATAGCATCTGATAGTATCAGACAGGCAAAGAGGATTCATCTATCTTATATTAAACTTTTAAATTGCCTCTCTTTGGAGGTTCATTGATAGTTCGTTCTATTCCATTTATGAAACTGTTATCTACTATTTATTGTAGCAGGATTTCTTTCTTATTTTACACTGTTTATTTTGATATAAAATAATACCTCACCCGTACACTATTCAGAGAACAAATCCATAAAATTTGTTCAGGGCCTGGAGAATAATAATCTGTTTTTGTTCTATAACATTAAGTGGCCACATATTATTTCAATTAGAAAAGTATCTTGTAAAATATATCAATAACATTATAAATATATTAAGCTGACTTAGAATAATTTATAAACTGTTGTAACCATTTTAATAGAAGGTATAACAATGTAAAAGGGACGTTGGTCTTACCTGATACGTCTCTTGTCATAAGGTGGAGATAGCATCCAGGTATGGGTTGACTTCATCTGCTCGCTGATTGGACTGAGTCTGTCAAAGCTCTTAAGACACGCCCTTGTTGCTAGGAGTATCCAGCTTTTTAGCGAAGTTAAATTGACAGACTCGACATGTCTTGTGCTAAAGTCTTATGGTAAAAGTCTTGTTCGTTTGCCGTGAAGACCAGCATCTTAGGGTGGGGCTGGATACTATCTCCACCTTATGAGAAGAGGGGTATCAGGTAAGACCAATGCCCTTTCTCCATTGAGGTGGAGATAGCATCTAAGCATGGGACATACCAAAGCTGGCTTGTCCTTACAAGGCTGACGTCTGGTCTGAGAGACCCCCTTCCCTGTGAACGGCTTGTAGTACCCTTTGGTCAAATGTTGCCTTGGCCGAGGTAAAGCCAAACACCACTTGTGTCACACATCTGCCTGCCACTGGCATAACCAAAGCAAATGTCGCACCAACACTGATGAAGCCATGGACTTGGACACAAATTTAGCAGTGTTGAGTGTGGTGTCCACTGAAAACTGAATCGCTGCTACCAGCTGGTTGATATCTTGGTATGCCCTGGAATCGGTGACCGGAATTTTCTCCTGCAGCTGGCGCAGCCAAAGCAACAATGCACTGTTGAAAAAGGAGGCGGTTGTGGATGGCTTCTTTGTAGGGTTAGATCTGCCTGCTTGTCCTCTGGTTTCAATACCTCCTCAGGCGCCCCTGGCATGGTTGAGGAGGTGTAGAGTGCTGCATTGGCTATAATATCCTGCAAATTTGGCTGGAACAGTGGATCGTGCTGCAATTCAGTGCGAAGACCTGCAGCAGTTGGGAGTAAAGATAGCTCCACTCTAGCCGAATGATGGGCTGACCCACCATGGCTGCAGTGCTATGTAAGTCTGACAGAGAGTCCCATAGACCAGAATTATTAATAGGAAAAACAGGGCTTGGACAACAATTTGACAACTCAGCTCCCTTTGGTGACATAGTTAAAGTGTATCTTGAATGGGAGTGCCCTGACTGATATGAGAGCCTTGAGTCTTCTGGCTGCTACCCTTTGAGCACAGGTGTTCCAAGGTTTTTTCCCTTCGTTTCTCAAACTTGGAAACAGACTTAGAGCTCTTTTTGGATTTTCCTGTTTTGAAGACAGCCTTTGAACTACATTTGTGCCCTGTAGAGGTAGATGGTAATGCTGGAGCTGCAGGGGAAGGTGCCATGGGCTCCTGACTGTCCAGGTCCCTCCCTCTTTTTGAGCCTGTCTCACTGACATTGGGTGCTGCTGCGCCCTCCATTTTGATTCTTTGACAGGGAAAAGACCGCCCTCCTGTCAAATGGCCGCTTCACACCTTTTGTTTAAGCGAGTGGCTGAGAGACAAGGCTTTCCAGGTTTTGGGGCTTAAAAGGCACAAAAACCTCATGGTGAACTAAGCAATTTGAGCCCTCCGATTGCTTTTGACAGTGATTGAGGATTGAGGCTTTTGTCACGCTAAAGGCTGCTGTCGCTGTAATCAGAAGCTGCCGCTGAAGCAATGGGATGTCCCCGCTGCTTATATCGTGTCCTTCTTCTGCTTAATGACTGTTCATGCAGGGCGTGATGTTCCTATTGACCGGGGGACTCCGGCAGTGTTGCAGAACCTAGCCGTTTCCTGAGAGCACAAAGCTCTCCAAATTGCCAGCCGAGAGCAGTCGATTGTTAACTTGAGGCTTAGGGAGAGCATGAAGCTCTGCAATCCAAAGTGCACCAAATCCAAACCAGCTGTTAACAAGAGCGTGAAGCTCTGCAAGATGGCTGCTATTGCTTTCCGTTAAGCTAGATAAGGTTCCTTAGATCTAGCCTTCAGGCTGCTGGAACTATGAATCCTCAATGTGGCCACCCTCATGCATGGCTTGAGTTGTCAAATAGCTAGCGTCCAGAGCCTAGGCTCTAGCCGCTGAGCCGGCTTTAACACCTGTGGCCAAAGAAAGTACTCACAAAGTCCAGAAAATGATGTAACAAATTCCTATTAATTCACAATAAAGTCCAAAAGTTGACAGGAATAAGAGATAGACACGTCCATCCTTGCTGATGAACTGAGTCGAAAAGCTGGATATTCCTAGCAACAAGGGTGTTTCTTAACAGCTTTGACAGACTCAGTCCAATCAGTGAGCAGACAAAGTCAACCCATGCCTGGATGCTATCTCCACCTCAATGGAGAAGTGGAAGATTCTTAAACAATCCATCACTTGCCTACTGTTATAATTATTTCAGGGTCATAACACGGAACATTTTTATGCATCACTCAAAAATATGCTTCACTAAGTTCAATTATTGCAGAAACACATGGTCAATTTACTTTTCCCCTTATTTTCATGCATGAACTACCCAATTTCTTACGTTTGCCTAATAATTTTATTATCCACTAGTTCTTTCATTGTGACATTATATCCCAGAGTAAGTATAATTACATAATTATGAACTACTAATTGTAGTTAATAATTTGAACTATCCTAGTAGCATGATGGAAATTTCTAAATCTGCTATGAATTAGGGCTACAAAAATCAATCTCCTTCTGACATAATGTACAAGGTAGTTTTTTGGCAAATATTATTTTGCTAGAAAAGATTATATATATTTTTTAAAGTCTGGCTCAGAAGTATTTACCTATAATTTATAATTTTGGGAATATAGCCAGCAATTCACCATAAGTGGACCTTCCCTTAAACTATTTGAAAATGTTTACATAATATAGAATGCTAAACAGCAAGACTTTTCAACATAAACATACTGGGAACTAATCTGCACTGATTCAGCATCCTCTTCAAAATATTTAAAAAGATTTGTGATCTCTAATGTATATAAGCCTGTATCTATACAATAGGGGAGAAGCAAGTAGGGGAGAAGCAAGTCAAGAGTTTTCCTATATGGAATAGAGAGAGAAAGAGAAAGAGAGAGAGAGTTTCTGTTAGCATCTAGGTATTTTTTAAAAACTGAAATATTATAAAATTTTGAAATTGATACAGGACACTCTGTAATGGGAGGATAATAGACTGTATTGACGGATTGCAAGATCTAAGAATAAAACATTCCTATTAGAGTGAAAATTAGACACTCAACTACAAATGCAACTTCCTGTTCAAAATCTAGCACTATACAAAAAATATCTGAAACTACAGAAACTGAGTACTGAACTGAAAATATCCTATTTTGAGAAACTGCTGTTATGAATATGAAATGGACTGTTTCAAGCCTTTTGAGACCTTTTCACACTTACCCATTGCCAAAGTGGTTGAAATTGCCCATTTTGAGTTTATAACAGCTGTTTCACATTTGAGTGGGATGTTACAAATTCAAATGAGAGTATTTCAAATTTGAATCAATTGGATTTGAAATATTTTATATATCTTTACCAAAAAAACTTTAAAATTTGCATATTCTTATTGAATTTGGCTATATTTTATATATCAGTCGAGTGAACTTGTTAAGGTATCAGACTAGAAACCTGGCGACTATGAGTTCTAGTCCTGCCTTAGGGACAAAACCAGGTGGGATGGCTTTGGGTTACTCACTTTCTTTCAACCCTAGCACTGGGAAGCGATGGCAAACAACTTCTGAAAAAACATACCAAGAAAACTTCAGGGACTAGTCAAGGCAGTTTCCGAGAATCAAGCACGATTGAACAAAAAAAATAAGATTGTATAAATCTTCATACTTAAAAATGTTGGCTAATGAATTCTTGCTTTATGTATGATATAATACATATTATATTAAATATCTTTACTGTAACAAATAAAATATGTAAATATATTTATTTAATAATCTACAATGCTTAATTGATTTATTTCTGCAAAATCTACTTCTTTATAAAAATGAAACCAAGCATGAGTCTTCCTTGAAATTCTGACTTTCAATGTAACCAAAGTCCAAGTTTCCATCTAGTAATTAACTTGATTTTATTTTTATTTTTCTTTCCATGTTTTATTTATTTTATTTGTATTACTTTCTATTTCCACCTAACAGTGTGGTATCTGGGTTGTGAACAATCAAAATCCACATACTTGTTATAATATTCATCACAAAACTATTAATAATATAACTATATATCAATACAATAGTACATAACACCTACATCATCAAATTCTCTCCACATTAACATTTCCTCTTTTTTATATCTCCTTTTTTCTAAACTTTTATTTACTATGAAAACCAAGTAAATATAGTTATACAGAAAGCAATAAATGCTACAAACATATGGTATTTTATAGGAAAAACCTTCAGGAAAAAAGAGAAATTTCCTATATGCTTAAGTAGTAACTGTTTAAT